AAATGTCATGCAGGCCTACTCCCAGGCCCATCAACAGGAGGTGACAATTACTTCTGGGCCACTCTATATGCTACACACAGCCACATGAGTTCCAAGGAAGAGGCCACCTAAGCCATGAATCTGTCAGGCTAGCCTTTCCTCATTAAGGGGTTCTTGGTTGCTAAGAGTCTCTAAAAGGCTGATGCTGTCATCTCAGCCTGGAAAGTCAGAGACATAAATTCTGCAGTGAGACTCGTCCCCGGAAGGAATGTGGCATTGTTTCTGTTGAACTGGGGCTGTGTCTGCCTCCTGCTCCTTCCTCTTCAGATAGACAGCGAGTGCCCATCTTCCAGTTACTGCCTATCACTGACACCAGGGAGCCCAGGCGTTTCTGACCAGGATCCTAGGAATGTCTGTCTAGTGTCTGCAAAAAAGGTCAGGAAGAGAGGTGGGAAAACAGAAAGCTGTGGCTGGGGTCAGGCTTTGTTTACACAGATGCAAATGTCCTTGACACAGCCCAGGGGTATGTCCCTAGGGTCTAAAATGACTTCCACAGGGCAGGGAGAGGAAGCAGCAGCAGCAGCCACCCCCAAGACGTGTGAAAGGAACTGCGGCCCCCTCTCCAGTGACTTTTCTCTAAATACCAGGCTTTCCACGGGTTCTGCAAATAGACTAGCTCTTCCAGCCTTCATCTGTACCATCCTGACAGCCCCACACTCTGCAGAAAGGCAGGAGTAACCATTTCTCTATCCTGCCCCAAACTGCCACTCTGGGCCTGGGAGACTTCCCTTCTCTCAGTCAAGTCTCTTCCAGGGGACCCCTCCCCTTACTGGCTGGAGCTTGGGCCCTGCTGGCAAACACTTGTTTTCCCAAGAAGATGCAGCAGGTGAAAATTGTGTGGTGTCTCTGCCTCCTCCTGCCTGGGTACGGTGAGCAGAAAGGCTGGGTGCCCCAGAGCTGACCCTGCACTGATCAGCCAATGGGAGGAGGTGAAGAGGTTCCTCTCTGTGCTTGGCCTAGCCTCATCTTCCTGTCAGGTTTCAGCACAGACACAGGGACATTAGTTTAATCCTCTTTGCCAGACTTTCTGTTTTCTGAGCAATTTTTGTTTCCAAGAAAAAACTTTCCAAAACTCTCCCTCCTGTGTCCTGAAGAGAATTGAAAGGCATCAGCTAAAGGCCATGAGTGAATTGTGCTTGGGTCCTGATATGAACAAACCAACTGAATGTCCCAGATACCCTGGCCGTGGGAGGAGGGTGTAAGTTTACGAAGGGACAGTGGAATGATGACGACACAATAATGATACAGAAAAGACAAGTCAGCCAGGAAAGGCAACTCAAGTTAGGAAAGGCTCACCTCACAAGCATGAGGACTTCAGTTCAACCCCCCAGAACCCACATAAAATTCTGGGCACAGTCACATGCACTTGTAACTCTAGTAACAGAGAGGGGAGGAGGGGACAGGTGGATCCCTGGAAGCCCAAAGGCCACCTAGCCCGGCCTTCTTGGTGAGGTTCCAGGAGAATGAGAGACTTGGTCTCAAATGAAAAGTGGAAGGCACCTGAGGAAGGTCCTGCCAGGCTTGGTGGCACACATCCATAACCACAGCACTTGGTAGGCTGAGGCAGGAGGATTGTGAATTTGAGGCCAGGCTGAACTAAACAGCAAGATGTCTCAAAAGGGGGAGGGGAGACTTAGGAGTTGAATACATTTAAAGTTTGCTTTAAAGTATTTTAAATGCTTCAAAAGAAGCTAGGGTAAGAGATGAAGCCACTGCCCTGGACTTGATCCCTGCTGAAACAGGGTGCGACACACAGAATTCACCACACCATTCCTCCATACTTCTGTGTAGGTTTTGGAATTTTCCCTTTATAATGTTACAGAAAAAAACTCCTTACTCTCTGTAACCTCCCCTTTCCAACTGTCGCTCAACAATTCCAAGCTCCTGATCCAATCTGCGCTCAGCCCTCCAGATCCTATCCAGGACCTTCTTCCTACCAACATGGGAGGGAGCAGGTGTCTCCAGGATGAGGCAGCTGCCCAAGACCTCCACAGCCCTCTGTTCATGTGCTGCCTCCACCAGAACTCAGCTCTGCTGTCTTATGCCTCTAACTCAGTGGTTCTCAACTTGGGGGTCACGACCCCTATGGGAGTCAAACGATCCCTTCACAGGGGTCGCCTAAGACCATTGGAAAACAGATATTACATTACGATTAATAACAGTAGCAAAATTACAGTTATGAAGTAGCAATGAAAATTTTATGGTTGGGGGTCTGCAGCATGAGGAACTGTATTGAAGGGTTGAAGCGTCAGAAAGGTTGAGAACACTGCTCTAAACGATTGCTTACCAAGTCTTTCCCACCTCCCAACTGACTGGATCCCATTGGCTTGATACCCAGTCTTTTTTCCACTTTGAGGTAGCTTTTAAAAATGTTTTTATTAGCATATATTCATTATATTTAGTAAATGGTTTCATTATGCATTTTCATACATGCACACAATGTATTTCAATCATATTTTTTCCTCTCTCTCTCACACACACACACACCATTAATCCTTCTCATTTCTCCTCCACTCTTGTACTAATTCTCTTCCTCTTTGTAACTAGTGCCTCTTCTACTTTCAAGTCGTGTGTGTGTGTGTGTGTGTGTGTGTGTGTGTGTGTGTCCTGATGAGACTCATGAGGGTTGTTTACAGGAGCCTGGATGAGTTTACCAGCGGCTATATCACTAAAGAACCTCTCCCTACCACCCATGAACTAAGTCTACTGGGCCTCTTATCCAAGGGCTGCCATGCCCTTATCTGCCCTCTCCCCCTAGAACCAGAACACAGTGAGTGTTTGTTCAACTGAACGGGCCCCTCTGCAACTCCAATATGCCCACTGCTGCTTCTCTTCTCCAGGGCCAAGAACCTTCTCCACAGGCCAAGGACTTCACAGAGGAGAAAAGCCATTCAGTTCCACAGACATTTCTAAAAGGTTGACAGTGACGGGGTGGTGACATCTGGGCACACAGCCACTTCAACTGGAAGCCACCATCGTCATATTGTCACCTGAGGAGGAGAAGCTGAGGAGGAGACCCTGGTTCTCCTTATGATTACTCAGTCTGCTCCGCTCCACCTCTTTCTTGTCAGCCTTCAGAATCTGCAAAAACATCCACTGCCAACTGTGGCCACCCTTCCTGACATACACAGGACAGCCATGGCTGTAGCTACCACAGGATAGGACAGCTGCCTGTCCTGGGACCCACCTCCCAACTTCCTTAGGAGCTGCTTTTTTGGGGCGATGACACTTTCCCTGACAGCTAGGGTGGTGTTTGAACTGAGCATGAAGCCAAGCTTTAAAGTCTGGTAAGTTAAAACTCCTCCATGAGGGTTGGGGAGAAGTCTGAGTCAGCACAGCGCTTATTGCACAAACATGAGCACCTGAGTCTGATCCCCCAAATCTATGTAAAAAGCCGGACATGGTAGAATGTACTCATGCTCCCAGTGCTTTGGAGGCCAAAAGAGGCAGACCCCTGGGGCTCAATGGCTTAGCTAACCTTGTCGATGTGGTCCCAGTGAGACCCCATCTCAAAAACAAGGTAGATGAGCTAGGCATGGTGGCACACACCTTTAATCCCAACATTGAGTAGGCGGAGAAAGGTGGATCTCTGTTATAGGCCAGCTTGGTCTGCACAGTAAATTCTAGGCCAGCCAGGGCTATACAGTGAGACTCTCTATCAAAAATAAACTGGTAGTTTGAAAGAAAATGGCCCCCAAAGAGAGTGGCACTATTGGGGGTGTGGCTTTGTTGGAGTGGGTGTGGCCTTGTTGGAGGAAGTGTATCACTGTGGAGGCGGGCTTTGAGGTCTCATATATGTCTCAAGCCATACCCAGTGTCTCAATTCACTTCTTGCCTGCAAGATGTAGAACTCTCAGCTACCTCTCCAGTACCACGTCTACCTGCACGCCGCCGTACTCCCAGATGCCAAGCTTCCCATGATGATAATGGACTCTAAACCTCTGAAACTGTAAGCTGCCACCTCAATTAAATGTTTTCCTTTATAAGACTTGCCTTGGTCATGGCATCTGTTCACAGCAACAGAAACCCTAAGACATAAACCAAGGAAGACGTCTCCAGAGGAAAAACAAGGTTGGCCACTGGCTTCCACAAGCACACACATATGGATAAAATGTGTACACCTGTCCACATATGTGCACCCCCATATATAAATATATTCTCCCTGAATGCAAAAGCTTCCATGGTGGCAGTGGCTTATGGAGCAGTGTACCGCTCCCGAGCCTCCTTCCTCTAGGTCCCAGTGAAACACTCCATTCCCCCCCACACCCTCCTGCCATGACAGTCCTGTGCTCCAGGTGGCTATTCAAATACCAGCTGTGAGCCCATAAGGAGCAAACAGGTCCACTAGCTCGCCTCATTCCCTGGGCCTCCTCAGACGCCCCTTTGCATCATGTGATACCTCAGGAGAAAGGAGCTTGTCTGGCAGGTGACACAGGAAAGTCACACAGTCTTCTCTAACTTCCCTGACAGTCTCGGGGTGCTTCTCTCGGTTCACTTTGTCTTTGTACAGTTAAGGGTCTGGTTATAGAACATCTAAAGGAGACCCTGCCACTAGGGACTGGCCATGAACACAGAGGACAGTTTCACTGTGGGGAAGGAAACCACTTACGGCTCTGAGCCAGCTCAGAGGCTGACAGCCGCGTGACTCTGGACAAGTGCTGCCCTGTAAACTGCTATAACGGGGAGAGGACTGGGGAGTTTACCTCTGAGGACCCTCTCAGTGTGAACAGAGTAGCTGCTTCCACAAACCCAAGAAAACCAGCTCTGCCTTCCTTCCCCGTCCTCCCTAATCAAGTCATCACTTAAATCTTCTTGCATTTACTTTGGCCTTCAAAGATGGTTCCTTGAGCATCTTTCCATCCATGGCCGCCGCCTTCTTCTTCTTCTTCTTCTTCTTCTTCTTCTTCTTCTTCTTCTTCTTCTTCTTCTTCTTCTTCTTCTTCTTCTTCTTCTTCTTCTTCTTCTTCTTCTTCTTCTTCAGAAACCAGATGTAGAGGTCAAGGTATGTTGATGCAATCAAAAGGACCTTTAATATTCATAGTGTCTTGTACCAAACAAGTATGCAACATTCCATGACGGGGCATACAGGACTTTGAAGCAATTGCAGAGTCATGTGTCTTCAGGGGAAGGCACAGTGTTCTGTAATCTTTCCTCGGTTCCAGGATGTGCAATGTCAGACCTCAGACATCAGTAGCACTGATCAATGTGGCATCTCATTACCGTGGGCCTGGACTGAAGCAGGTCACTGGGAGAAAAGACCGCACAGCTCTGGGGAGCCAGGTAGGGTCCCCCTGCCTTCGACTGTGGGGTACGGCAGTCCCTGCTTGAGGTTCTTCTGATGCACACTGAGGTGGTCCAATCCCAGAGTAATGGTGCAAAGGCCTTCTGCTCTGAGTTTTTCCTCTCCACCCAGGGTCCAAGTGCAGCTGGGTGTGTTTCCAGCTCTCCCTTCTGCACGGTGACACTGTCTCTCGGTCGCCCTCTCATTGTGTACTACCTCCTAGAAGATTGCCCTTGACAGGATTTTTTTTTTCTTTCTTAATTGTCCATAAAATGATCACACATCATGCATTGTGGTTTCTTATATTTGATTAAAATAATTTTGATTACAGTTATTAAATATATGTGATATATGATCCAGCTTGCTAATTAAAATATATATATATACATATATATGTATATATATATGTATATATATATATATATATTTCTAAAGACTGGCTTTATCAGATCAAGATCTAGTCTGCGCTACCCACTGAGAATTTCTCCCAGGACCCATTAGTTGTTTCTGTGACCCTGGGAACAAAGGCAGAACTCCTCAACAAGCCAAAGTCCCACTGGTTCTGCTCGTCCTCAGCTATCTCCACACTCTATAACTCCCATTCTCTCTCCCTCAGTTTTCCTTCCATTCCCTCTCACCACAGAACACTGACATGATGGCCCCATGGGGGACACCTCTCTCCTCAGTTTCCTTAGCTGCCCACAGCCCCAGTGTCCTCCATACATGGCTGCCTCCCCCGAGCAGATCAACTCAACTCTGTCTGTGTCTGTGTCTGTCTGTCTGTCTGTCTCACTGTAGGCCTTGCAGTGCTGCCTACTTTTCTTTCACAACTGTAGTTCTGTAGTTCTAGAATTCTTGATTAATGCTAGAAACTATCACTCAACTGAGAACTTCAGGGAAGCAGAAAACCAGCTTGATATTACTTGACACCACATCCCTGGACTCAAGTAAACTATTTGGAAACTGGCAGGTGCCTGCTAACTATGTCTGAATGGAAGGATGAACTTGGGTATCACTTAAGCAGAGCGTAAGTTCCTAGAGTCCAAGCAGTTAAGGGAGTCAGAAAGAGCTATGGAATCATCAGAAGGCTCCCACTTTCATCACTAATGTTATGATGACCCAGGACAAGTCACATTCTTTGTTTTCTCACTAACCTGAGAATGATATTTAATAAAAATACTATGGGTGTTTTGCAAGGCTGTGGAGGTACTTGAAACAATACAGTTTGTCCCCAGTCCCAAGCTCCTAGCATCATTTGGGGTTCAGGGTCCATATTCTATGTGCTGTCTGCATGGATGTACTGATGGGCCTTCCTCCTAGGAGAGGGAGATGACATCACACAAACCTCCTTATGCTCAAAGCTTTGGTGCTAGAAGAGACCAATGAGCCTTGTGCTTCCCAAAGCTCTCTGAGGTTTCCCACACTTCAGGGCCCACTGGCCTAGAAGACATGAAGAAATTCTTCCTTGCTGTGTGCCTCTTGTCTTCATTTTCAGTGTAAAGTTGACCCCTTAGCCTCCGGGATCAGCACTTTAATATTAAGGTGGCTTTTTACAGCTAAGCATCACGAAACGTCTTCCATACCTCGCCTCAAACATGGGCACCTGGGTTTCCAACAGGTTATGCATGATCCTAACTCATTCTCCTTCTCTGAGTCAATTTCTTCCTTGGCCACAGAGAAATGAATAGTAAAAACACTGTCACTCATCTTCTCGGCTCCCGGAGCTGCACCCCACCCCAAGACAGGGTCCCATATACCCCAGGCTGGCCTTTAACTCGAACCCAGTACATAGCCAGAGATAACTCTAATTTTCCAATCCTTCTGGCTCCTCCTCTTAAGTACCAGATAGAGGTGTGCACCACCAAGCTCGGTTTATGCTATGCTGGGGATACAGCCCAGGATTCTGCAGATGCTCGGCAAGTACTCTAGAAATTGAGCTATATCCCAGCCTCTTATCTCACAGAGTTCTTTACAAATCCAATAAGGTCACAGACATAAAGACTTGATGAGTGAGAAGACAATTTAAAAGAAAGTTAATGTTTTCTCTGTATATTTTAAAATCCCGACTCTGTAACTGGAAAGCAACCCTGGCGACTAAGTTATTCTTAGTTATGTCGATCATTGCCCAAGATCTGCACTCAAGGCATGCAGATGGAACCTGAGAGGTGAGCCAACCCATCACCATTACTCAGTTATCAAGTATCCCCTGGGGGCTGGCAGATACCCCCTGGAGAAGGGCATGCTGAGGGGATATATTTTCTAATTGTTTTCACAGCCCAGCTGCTGTGTCAGCGCCCTCTCAGAAAACCAGGCTGGTGAGGGAATGCAGAGTAAATCACTAGCTAGCACCTCAGTGGCTGGGAAACTCTGGAGGAGCAGAAGGATGCGCACACACTCTGCAGGATAATTCCAGTGGGATGCCCCAGGAGAGAAGAAGACAACATGCTTCTGCAAAGCACTGGGAATGCACTACTGACTAGGCTCGGGTGCTCAGAGCTTCAAGCTGGCCAGGATTTCCTCCGTGTGCGATCTCTGGAGCAGCTCCGACAGGGACTCACTGGTGTCCTGGTGGAACACGGAGCCCAGACCGTAACCATCTGTGTTCCCGCTCTCCAGCTGGGAGCTGCCCACCAGTTCCTGCATCCACTGGATGTCTGCCGAGAGTTGCTGCCTCAGAGCCTCAAACTGCACCTGCAGATGGTCTAGCTTCCTGGCCATGCCTCCAAGGCTGGCCCCTGTGGTCCGGATGTCTTCTCTCAGGAGCTTCTTCAGGGACTCCACCTTACGGAACTCATACTTGAGCTGGGACAGGTTATGGCGGGCATTCTCATTCTCCTCTCGGTACCAAGCCTCCTTCTCGCTGTAGATGGCGACCAAGGCCTCCACATCATCCTGCAGGGTGTCATGGGCTTCCGCTAGGGCATGGCATCCCTTGTCCACCCGAGCCACATCCTCTACCACATGGGCAAAACGCTCAAAGTTGACGTAAGTGTTGTTGGGGGGCATGCTTGAGTGGCATTTGAGGGTATACTCTCTCAGGCGTTTGGTCTTCAGCTGGGCAGGCTGTGTCTTCCACTGCTCAGGGGCTCTGGCTTCTGCTTTTGACTAGTAGGTGTTCAGACAGAAGAACCAGAATATTAACATGATATGTGTTCTACGGGGTAGTCCACACTGCAGGCGGAAGGCACACACATGGCCTCTTTGGCATTCACTGCTCGGGTCAAGACATGGTAGGGAGAGCCAGGGTGAGGCTAGCACCCTGCCCCCAACAAGACCATAAGAGACGTTAAGGAATGTGGGGGTGCCGCCTGCATGCTTACTTCAGGGCACAGGGTTCCATGGCCATTAGAGAGGGTTACCACACACATAGAATTTCACAGTAGCTCGCACACACAAGCAGGCTGCAGCTAGGGCTCTGCAGACATCCACTCAAGGGCTGAAACATGCAGGCTACAGCAGGCAGAGGAAGGAAGGAAGGCTGAAGATATCTGCCTTTCAGGACACTGCAGCCCGGGCAAAAGCCAGCATGCTCAGCAGGAAGGAGCCCAAGAGGCTCTCTAGCTTTGGGCTCTGGGCACATCCCAACTTGGAAGATTATTGGTCTTCCCCATCCTCCAGGGAGTAAAGGAATTTATCATCTATAGCCCTCTACCCTTCTTATCTACACTTAGATCATTTTTTGTGGGCCTTCTCTGTGAACAGTGAAGGTAGTCTGAGGCGTGTTCAGTTCGTCAGCCCACAGAGCCAGGGCTGGAGCCTTGTTCTGAGTCCTCTATCACTCCCAACGTGCTTTTCATGCCAAACTCCAAGACTGTGGAAACCAGTGGGCCCTCCACTGCAGGCAGGTTATGGGGATTCATTTTATGCCCTGACCCTCCTACAGGGAACAGAACTGTCCTAACATCTGGCTTCTCTTCCCCTAACATCTGGCTTCTCTTCCCCATCAGGTCTCTGTCTCAGGACCCAATCCCTGAGGCCACACAGTGCCTAAAGAAGCTACATGACAGACTTGCATTTCATCCTGTAGTGAGAGCCCAGAAGACAGAAAAAGAAATGGACCCGATCACAGAGTCAAGGTTTTAGTGGCCAGAGATTCTGGCTACAGCATGACCTCCAACAAAGAACATTTTCGAAGCTGGCCTCTGAAGGAAAAGTGTCTTAGCTGAGGTCTGTGATAGTTCCATTGGCTCTCTGAACCCATGAAACACAAACTTAAGGTAGCATAAGCCTATTTTATTTATTTTTGTTGGTTTGTTTTTGTGGTGCTCTGGTGGAACTCACAGCCTCATGCAAGCGGGGCAAGCACTCCAGTACTGAGCCAGTATGACCCCATCGAACAAGCACAGGCCTCTTGAGGACCCTTGACCACTGCCCGAGATCAAGCACAGGCCTCTTAACAGCCGTTTGTATTTGACTGCCACAGCCAGCTCTGGGGGCAGAAGGCAGACCTCCTGCTCACTGGAATTCATTACCATGCCCTTACCATGATCCAGGGATGTCTGAGAGCCTCTTGGATGGTCAGCCGTTTCCTGCAATGAGGACAAGGAAACAGAAATTCCATGAGGACAACTGATGGGAGCAGTGGCCCGTGTCTTACCTTTTTACATTCTTTGGCTGTACATCAAGGCAGTACAGCTGCGGACAGGGCCGAAAACTGGCTGCGTTTCCAATACTCTAGGGAAAGGCCGAAAACTGGCTGCGTTTCCAATACTCTAGGGAAAGTGGGCCAGGCAGAAACCTCAATAGAGACACCTTACCACCCAATCCCTCAGCTTCAGTTCCGAAGTTGAAGGGCCTAACTGCCACCCTCTGTTGAGACTTCTCTGAAAGGCAGCTCTGCAGTGCCAAACCTCTGGTGGCTGCTCTTGTGTTTGCCTCCTAGGTATCTCCTCTGACCTTGATCGCTCTACATACAGGTAGGTACTCCAACCCCAGCACTGCCCTACACAGGGAGACCAGGGCTTCTGCACATCACAGGACCCCACTCTGGTTCTCTCTGAAACCTGTGAAAACCAGAGGACATATGGCCCTGTCCCCTGCCCAACCAGGCCTTTCTGTGATGCTCACACAGAAAAGTCACAGTGTGGTGATATTGTGTTCCCCAAAATATTGTGCACCCTAATAAACTTATCTGGGGTCAGATAACAGAACAGCCACTAGATATAGAAGCCAGAAAATGGTGACACACACACCTTTAATCCTAGCATTCCAAAGGCAGAGATCCATTTGGATCTCTGAGTTCAAAGCCACACTGGAAACAGCTAGGCATGGTGAGACACACCTTTAATCCCAGGAAGTGATGGCAGGAAGTAAAAAGGTATATAAGGTGTGAGGACCAGGAACTAGAGCCTGGTTAAGCTTTTAGGCTTTTAGCAGCAGTTCAGCTGAGATCCACTCAGATGAGGTCTCAGAGGCTTCCAGTTTGAGGAAATGGGATCGGCTGAGAAGTTGTCAAGGTGAGGTTAGCTGTGGCCTGTTCTGTCTCTCTGATCTTCCAGCAGTCACCCCAATACCTGGCTTCAGGTTGGATTTTATTAATAATACCTTTTAAGATTTGTGCTACATCACAGCTCTCTACACAGTTTCTTGCCCATCCCCCTTCTTTGGCCATATAGCCATGAGGCTCAACCTGGGCTCTGACGCAGGGGTAGGATTGGTATGTCGCATCTCTCCCAATATCCTGGCCTCTCTGGGCCGGTCTGCCTCCACTCTCAACTTGGACAGGTCTCAAAATGCTCGCTGTTTATCTTTCAAATCAGAGTCCTGCATCCGTATGTGGAAGACTGCACACAATAACCCTTGGTTTCCAAATACACATGCATGCAAGCACGTACATGTGTATGCTCCTGGAGACAGAGTCATTTGTATGCTGGCAGGAGGAGATGAAGGCAAAGACCGAAATGACAAGATAAATGCCAAGTCATGGCCAGTGACACTTCTCAGCACCTGACCAGACTGGGCTACATGACCCAGATGACCAAGCGAGGCAGACTTTGGAAGGCAATAGGAAAGGATGAGTACCGGAGAAACCACCATCTTTCTTTATCCTCTTACCGGGTCTCTTTCACAAGAAGCTTCCGAATGAAGTCCTTGGCCAGTTCGCTTGTCTGGCTGAAGAACTCCTCATCAAAGTCATAACTCACAGCTGTGATGTTTGCCAGTGTTTCTTGCTTCGTGTCTCCCAGGAAGGGGGATGCTCCACTTAGTCTGAGCACAACAAAGAAAGACCCATGTAACGGAGGGAAAGGAGAGAGACATTGGAGTAACAGACTCAGGGAACTCTGGCCTGCTCTCTCCAGGCAACCAAACAATGGACTTTTCAGTGCTGTCCAACTCAATTCACTTTCTGGACCTCCAACTGAGTACCTGACCCAGGGAGACTGTGTTTAATGGACTCAGAAGCTAAAAGAAGGGATGGCAGTCCCCGGCAGAACAAAGCAAAATACAATGAGGGGCCAGACAAAGAAGTTGGGGAGCACAGGGAAGTGGGGGGGTGCGGCATCATAGGGTGGTTGAAGTTTGCACTGACTCTATCTTAAAGAATGAACAGGCTGTCAACCATCAGAGAAGCCCTAGAAAGAACGTCCAGACTGAGGGAGCAGCTTGAGCACAGCTTGAGAGACACAGAAGGTGTACAAGATTTGGTCCCCACAGGGCTTGACAAGGGTGTATCGTACAAGGACCCCCTGAAGTACCAGCTCTTGATTTGACTTCCCCTTGAGCACCGGGTACCTCTACCCAGACACACCCTTGATATGCACAAACCCCATGCACGCACTGCCTACCTGGATTAACCACATCATGCTAGAAAGAGCAATCACCCTGCACTGTATTTCTATTCCTTCGCCACATCTCACCTGGCTGAAACTCTCGCTGTCTCGATTCACCAAACAGCTCTTGGCAGTCATTCCTGTCCCCATTGCTGCTTTCTTAGCCCGGGGAACAGCAAGGCCAGCCTGAGCCACATAGAGAAAGTCTGTCTCAAAAGACCAAGGGAAGGCTAAGGCATGATGGGGCACACCTTTAATCCCTGCACTTGGAAGGCAGAGGCAGGGGAAGGAGCTCTATGAATTTGAAACTAGGGTAGTCTACATAGAGTGTCTAGGCCAGCCAGAACTACACAGTGAGACCCCCATCTCAAAAAAAAGTCAATAAATGTGGATGTATCTCAGGGGTAGAGTGCTTGCCAAATATGTACAAGATCTTTGAGGTCAATCCTGAGTACCACAAGAAATAGATAAACTGCCTTCTGTAACCCTGATCCATACTAGTGGCTGTAGAATTAATGGTCATTATTTCTGTCATTGATAAAATACAAATAACTCTCCTATGAGTTCTAGGTTCTGTTTCCATAAGACCAGAAATTGGTCTGTATCACATGTGCTGTGTCCTCGCCCACCTCTTTACTATCCAGGGAGTTGATTTTATTCTATATCTCCCAGTTCAAATATATCTGTCTGTCTGTCTGTCTGTCTACCTACCTACCTACTTACCTACCTTCTACAATTCCAGCCTCTCCCTCTGGGTTTCATAGACATGTGCTTAAACCTCCAATGTAACCATGCTCCCATAGGGTGATATTAGCTGTGAAGTGTATCTCCCACAGACACAGAGCCCAGGACAAGAAAATCCAACCCTCCTCCATGTCAGGATCCTGAGTTTCTGACCCAGTGCTTCTGATAAAACAGGTTTTCAATTAAGCTATATCAGTCAGGCCTGGTCACATGGGGCCTATAATCCCAGTTCTTGGGGAAGCTGATGCAGAAATATCATTAGTTCAAGGCCTGCCTGGGCAATTTGGTCTCTTATCTCAAAAGAAAAAAAATTAAGAGGTTCCAGGGATATAATTCAGTGGTAGCACATTTGCCTAGTTACGTTCAATTACTCTAGGTTCAATTCCTAGTATCACAAAAAAATAAATGAGTAAAGCCAGAGCTATACAGTAAAACAAAAGAAAAATAATATAAAATAAAATAAATATCAAGTTCAAGGAGTCATAAGAAGACTGTGTGGCCTGCAGAATTCTTTAATAGTTCAATGTGAAAACTAGAATTCTAAAGAAACCCAAGATTTAAGAAGCAATAGGCAACTTCCCTGGCTCTGGAATTACAGAGGAAGGCTCCTTGGCCTTCGGGCTGCAGCAGAGCCAGCTGGGGCCATGGCTCTCCCCTAGTGATTCTAACTGAATGGATCTCCGGCCACTGGAGGTATTAAGAGATCTCCTGTGCAGCCAGGGTTGAGGGCCTCAGCTGCAGCTGGGGGAGTCACAGTGTGGCTGCACAGAGCTCCCAGCTTATGCTGCTGAGAACAATCCTTCACCTGTGGAACACTGGCCCTGGCTATGGGCTTTTACCCTGAAAATGCCATGAAAATAGTATTTTCTATGTGGGCTACGAGAGGGTAGCCACTGGGAACCAGCGAGGGGCTGAGTGTATACTAGCCTACTCTGTGTGCCAACTCTGTGTGCCAACTCTGTGTGCCACAGCAGTGCCTCTGAAACTTGTGCAAGTGGCTTATTCCCACCCACCCCACTTCCTGTGGCAGGAAGTCCGTGATTCCTAATTTTCAGATAAGAAAAACAGATCCAAAGGTTAAGTACCTACCCATGGCCACACAAACTGAAAGAGACAGTGCTAGTATCCTGTCCCAAACGAGGCCCAGTCCACTAAATAAATAAATAAATAAATCGCACAAAACCACATATGCAGAAACTGTGACTTAAGTCACCAGATACACGGGGACAAGAAAGGGGGAAAGAAAGGAGGAGGAAAGGGGGTGTGAGAGGGAGGAAAACGGACCTAGGGATGAGAAGAGAGAAAAGAGGAGGGAGATGGGGCAGGTGTAGGCGCCTTCGTGGCTGTCACAAGGATTCTGGCGAAGTAACAGTCTTATGGTGAGCATATATAGTCTGCGGAAGGCTGAGCTGAGCAGCCCTAGCTTGCCACAAAGGAATTTAGAAGTGAGCTGTGTAGGAGGGAGGGCTGCTCTCCCAGACTCCTAGCCCTGCTCCAGTGTATGAAGTGGAGCTCCGAGCTCGGCCTCAGGTGCTCTGTGGACTTGACACATCTATGGATGTCCCCCTGCCCCCCTCATTCCTCCTGAGCTAAGCAGGTCTGCACCCCCAAGGCTGGAGATACTCACAGGATGTAGGTGATGACGCCGATGCTCCTGCAAAGGAGAGTCATGTCAGAGCTGTGTGGGTTCCAACCTCAAACCCCCAAGGCAGTCACCACGCAGGCCCCGAGAAGTCACTTCCTTCCCCAGGTGGCCCCTGAATGCCATTTCAAGCCCCATCCCTCCTACCCGACTCTGCAACAGACCCGAATGCAATTAGAATCTTCACTTTCTGCACATGGAATCAAGGACCCAAATTCAAGGTCTGACTCCTGTATTTGCAGACTCTGCCATCAGAGCATGTCCCTTAACCTCTGAGCCCACTTTCCTTATAAAAGGAGGACAACAAATAATAAGAACAGCCTCATAGTTGACAAGATCTTAGAAAGCCAAGTCATGAGCTGGGCCAACTGTAAAGCAGTGTTCAAATAAAACATGTAAAGAACTGATCGCAGGAGTACTACTGGGAAAACATACGCCTGGGACCTAGGGTACTCCTGTGGAGCACCTGCTGGACTGACCACGGTGCTCACTTAACTGTTACCTAGACCCCAGTCGGGGCTGGCCCAGGATGAGCCTGCGCTTGCCTCTGCCTCCCCCCGATGACAAAGCTCTAACTGGCCATGGATCCCAGCCTCATTGCCTCCTGGCTCCATGTCCAGTGCTCCTAGAGTATTACAGACTAGATGTGAGTGTGAACAAAGGGGCTTACACACTCAAGGGCATGTCATCTAAACCAGGGGTGGAGAGGCCTTCTGCCCCCGGAAGGATCCCAGGCCACCACTTACCACATGTCGGCCTCCAGTCCCAGTGGCTCATAGTTCACGATTTCTGGAGCTGAAAGAAGTCATGTTGAGGAGTCAAGAGGGGGTAGAGATGAGAGGAGATGGTTCTAGGGAATTCTAGAGTAATTGGTGCCAAATGTCTCCATCTTGAATCTCCAATAGAGGGAGGAAGGAATATTCAAATGGTAGATGGAAATAATCAGGATGTAAGAATGTTGAGAAAATAAGTTGCTATGGACAGTGTGTGTTTCTACAGAAAGTCTGTGTTGAAATCTAATTCTCAGGCAACAGTATAAAACGATGGAGCCTTACAGGTGATTAGGTCATGAGAGTACGACCTTCAGGAATAAAGTTAGACTCTTATAAAAAGCCCCAAGGGAATTGTTCCCTCCTTCCATATGAGGATAGAGAAGGACACTGCTATCTGTGTGAAAAGGTCCCTCACAGACACCAGGCCCACTGGCAGCATCTGGGACTCTCAACCACCCAAACTGTGACTGACCAACATGTTTGTTGTTTATAATCTATCCAGTCTCAGGTGTTTGGTTACAGCAGCCGGTCAAGGTAAGACTTGATTTCCTGCTAACCTGGGAGAAATGACTCATGAACAAGCCTTGATGAGGAGAAAAAGGAAGGCACAAAGCAAGAGGAATGTGGGAAGGAGGAGGTTCAGGAAGAAGACATAGAGGTCCGTGTGGTGATATATTGTGTCCCCAATATATTGTGCATCCTAATAAACTTATCTGGAGTCAGAGAACAGAAAAGCCACTAGATACAGAGGCCAGAAAATGGTGGCACACCTTTAATCCTAGCATTCCAAAGGCAGAGATCCATCCGGATCTCTGAGAGTTCAAAGCCACACTGGAAACAGCCAGGCATGGTGACACATGCCTTTAATCCCAGGAAATGATGGCAGGAAGCAGAAAGGTATTTAAGGCATGAAACCAGGAACTGGAGCTGGTTAAGCTGTTAGGCTTTTGAGCAGCAGTTCAGCTGAGATCCATTGGATGAGGACACAGAGGCTTTCAGTTTGAGGAAACAGGATTGGCTGAGGAGTTGGCGAGGTGAGGTTAGCTGTGGCCTGTTCTCTCTCTCTCTCTCTGATCTTTCAGTGTTCACCCCAGTACCTGGCTCTGGGTTTGTTTTTATTAATAAGAACTTTTAAGATTCGTGCTATAGGCCCGGTGATGAGGAGGAACCCTGGTGGACAGAGACTCCAGACGGGTCCATGCTGTTGGGTGATGGGGAAGAAGGCAGAGAGGGCCTTCATCTTCCTCTGAGTCCTGCCTGACAGGTGGCATCATCTGAGGACATTTTTTTTGGGGGGGGGGGTCACTGAGTTAAGGTGATAAACCTGAGGGGACGCCGAACATGCCAGGGGACAGCTGGCTGCAGGGGAGGAGCGTGAGCCAAGCATCAGATTTGAAGCCATTAATGGGTGACCAAGAGAGGGTAGAGGTCAGGGGAGAAGACTCTGCTATAGACACAAGAGGACCATGTGCGGCCCAGAGCGCCGCGGCCCCAGAGAGCCAATGCTGAATTGACACCCACTTTGGCCGTGACTTTTGAGAATGTAGTAATGAAGTGGATGCAGTACCTCAGGAGAAGAGGGTCCTGCTAGCTGCTAAGACAAGAGTGCTGGCATTAAAGGCGCGGGCCACCGCCGCCCGGCTCTCCTGTCTGCTCTTTGTCCTGTAGGAACCGGAGAGTACAGACGCACACGACCTCGCCTGGCTTTCAGTGGGCTCTGGGGATTCAAACTCAGGTCACGCAGGCAAGGCAAGCGCTTTACTCACCAACACTTCCTCCGCCCTAGGAAATTAATCTCATTGCATCTTCCTAAAAGGGCGGCCTGTCGCACATACATACTGAATGTCTTTTTTATCTTTATCTTTATTTCTAATTCTGTGCAGATGTGTGTTTCTGTGTGTGGGTGTGCAGGTGCCAAAGAGGCCAGGAGAGGGTTTGGATCCTCTGGAGCTGGAGTTATAGAAGATTCTGAGCCATCCGCTGTGAGTGCCGGGACCTGAACTTGGGTCCTCAGCAAGGGTGGTATGCACCACTAACCACTGAGCCTCTCCAGCCCTAAATTTCTATCGAGTTCTCTCAAATCGTGCCAGGTCTTTTGTGTTTGTCTTGTTTTGTTTTTCGAGACAGGGTCTGGCCTAGAACAAAGTACCTGATGGAAAAAAATAAGCCAAGATGTTTTTTTGAGGAGGCCACTCCCTCCAAGTCTGAAATACTTCAATTCCCCGAGAAGATAGATACATAATGGTTTGGTTCTCAACTCTCATTCCTTTCCTCTCTGCAGAGGGATTTTCTTGTGATCCTCCAACCTCTGGGCCAGGTCCCACAGGGGAGTCTCTAGGGTGTAGGACAGAAAGGGCTGGGGCAGAGGGTGAAAGGAACAGAGAAAATCCAGCAAGGCCAGGCCCTCGCTGGAGCCGGCTGCTCCAATGGGTGAGTGAAGGCCAGGCTCTCGGGAGAGGCAGGTGGTGGGGCTGATACCTGGCAGATAAATACCTCTTTCCTTTTCAAGAAATCAAAAGCTACTTCAGAGGAGGAATTCCTGTGGGGAACCACACAGGGAAGGGATTTTAAGTCTGCACAATAAACTTCTCCAAGAGGAAACGGTGGGGCCAGTTCTGGGAAAGTAACTCTACAAAGGCCTCTAGCCCCACCTGGTCACTCTCTGCCCAGTGGGCACCCAAAGCCCATGCCTGTCTCTTCACCCAGGGCCTAGTAAGACAATTCCTTCTCAACCCTTTCGGGTGATAGCAGGTATCCCAAGGCATCATTTCTCAGCCCAGACATGAGGATTGTTCTTGGAATTTCCCTCCCTTCTACTGTGTGAGAGTGTGTGAGAGTGTGTGTGAGAGAGAGAGAGAGAGTGTGTGTGTGTGTGTGTGTGTGTGTGTGTGTGTGTGTGTGTGTGTGTGTACGCGCACAGGAAGACAGCCTTGGCTATTGGTCCTTCAGTACAACCCACCTTATTTTTTGAGACAGGACCTTTCGGTGGCCTGGAACCTATCAAGTAGGCTAGGCTGGCTAGCCAGTGAGCCCCAGGGGTCTACCTGTCTCTGCCTCCCCAGCTCTGGGATTATAAGAGTGCACAACTACTCTTGGCTTTCTTACATGGATTCTGGGGCTTGATGCCAGGTCTGGATTCTCTCCTCAGCCCCAATGCCAGATTGAGAGAAAAACAGTCCCAAAACTCACCAACAAATTCTGGTGTTCCAAAAATGTTTTTAAACTCAACTCCGTCTTCTATTTCATGAGCCAGGCCAAAGTCAATCAGCTTGATGTGTGGGATGGGGATGGTCTTGTCTAACAACATGATGTTTTCTGGCTGGAGGACAGAACAGAAAGAAGGAGAGACAATAATTAAAGTGTTGTTTTGTATTTTCCTTTGGGGTTAGGGTAGGGTTTTGTGCGCTTTTGGGTGGGGGGACTAAAACAACGAAGTTCTTGTTTTTGTGTCCTAGGTCTTCTCAAATCCAGCACCAAGGGTCAAGGGCCAGCTTTGACTAACCCTGTATAGACAGCAAAGCTAGAGGACTGGGCTGTAATGTCTGATCTGTCTCTGAATGGAAGATCTCTTCAGTGTGGTTCACTGCTTCCTTGTCACTCAGACGGGACTGAGCAGATACTTCTAGCCTCTCCAGTAAGCAAAGCCACCTCCCTGCGTGAGTGTGAGGTGAGGGGGACACACAAGCTTCCCCCAGGTCTACACAAGGTTTGCTGGCCTTGATCGACTGTGTCACCTCCCTCTTCCCTCTGGCCAGCCAGCTTCCTGTTGACTTTCTCTGAGACTAACCAACTTCTCTATGTGTGTTTAACTAATTTGGGCTTTTGGCAGGACATAAAAACAAAATGCACCTGACTTCCAGGGAAAATACCAGCCGCCCAAGCTATTTCCGGCCCTGAAACAGCTGGTGGCCTGACTGACAACTCAGGTAGGTTTGGCAGGAAGAGAGGAGACACTGGCCAGACCCTCACAGCCTGTGTGTCCCCCCCCCCCCCGCCCCCCGCCACATCCATCTCTCAGCTCCCAGGGAAGCTGGGACAGGGTCCTGAAGTCCACCCTCATCATTCCCATCTAAGCCCAAGACTAGACAGGAAGTGGGCAGGTCTACCTGCTCAGCCATTTTTCCTCTACTCCTCCAATGACTGTCTTAGATACCATTTAAATTGGCCTGTCCTGAAAACTTCACCCACACAAACCTTATACACACAACATTCACTACAGCACCTCCACAAGAGCCCTAAGGTACAAAATGCCCATCAACTGAAGAAGAGACAGAGTGTGACATACCCACACCACATATAATATTCGCACAGGAGGACTTACTTTTTTTCAGGCTCAGGACAAAATCCAGAATCTTTACTTATGTAAGATAAGTATTCTTACCAGCCCTAAAAATACTATTTGATGATAAAAAAAGAATAAAATAAAAAGATAAAAGGAAATTAAGTATTGATAAATGTTACAATGTAGGTAAGATTTGAACATGATATACTAACCAGGTGCTGGGTTGCGCCTGAAACCCTAGTGCCTGAGATACTAAGTAGGAAGACTGAAGTGAATTTGAGGTTGGCCTGGGCGACATCTTAAGTCTCTTCCAAAAAAGAAGGGGGAGGAGGAGGAAAGAGAGGAGAAAGAGAAAGAGAACATGCTAAAAGAGAGAAATGTACACAAAAGGGCACATAACACAGGATTCTGTTTATGAGGAATACACGCAGAGACTAGGCAAATACTCATGGACAGAAAGGATATTAGTAACTGAATAAGACTTGGGGAATACGGTCAGTGAGGTGGCTCACCATGTAAAGCAGTGGTTCTCAACCTTCCTAAAGCTGCAGCCCTTTAATACAGTTCCTCAGGTTGTGGTGATCCCCAACCATAAAAATATTTTCATTGCTACTTCATAACTATAATTTTACTGCTAGAAATGATAATGTAAATATCTGATATGCAGGATATCTGATATGCGACCCCACATGGTGAGAACCACTGATGTGAAGGAATTTGCTACAAGCCTGAAGGTGTAAGTTCAATCCTTGAGATCCACATGGTGGAAAGGAGAGACCTGACTGCGGCAAGTTGACCTCTGACCTCCGTATGTGCACAGTTGCACATGCGTATGCACAAATACATAAAAATACAATAAAAAGAATTTTTTAAAAGACTGGGGAATAGGTAGGAACTGCTAATAAATGTGTAATTTCTTGAGGGTGATAAATATATTCTAAAATTAATTCTAAAACTGCACTGCAAACGATTGTGCTTTTGGTTATAAAATCTATCGTTTACACACAGCATGGGGGACCATGTCATATGTGGACTACAGCTCAGAAAAGCTCTTAACCAGATAAACATGTTAGAGAGCTCAGAAGTCACCGTTCTCAAAAGAACTGAGGAGTTCCCACCTTGCCATAAAAGAACTGAGGAGTTCCCACCTTGCCATAAAAGAACTGAGGAGTTCCCACCTTGCCATAAAAGAACTGAGGAGTTCCCACCTTGCCGTAAGAACTGAGGAGTTCCCACCTTGCTCCTTTGCTTACAGGTGTCTGTACCTGGAGGTCTTCTGGCCCTCCTGCTCCCAGTAAAATCCTGACTGGACTTGCTCAAACTGTCTCTCCCGAGAAGACATTCCTTATGCCCCAGGCCCTACCTGAATGTGAGCAGATCTTGGTCATCCCTAGGCCCCTCTGCTTATTCAGATCTTTTAGGACATCTGGCTGCTGTCTCCAGTCCAGCAGCCCCTCCTTCCTGACTCTCTGGCAGAACTATCCCCAGCTGGAGGGAGAACTCAGACCTTGCAATGCCCTCCCTCCCCAAATGCTGTGTGGATTCCTTATGGTGACACACTACTGAGCATGATCCTAATTCTTAGCTAAATTTACATGTAATCTGGACTGGTCACCCCCCTCCCCCAACACATACACCAGGTGTCTCTGGTTCTCTGAAGTCTCTGTGACCTCCTGTCACAGCAGCTAGAGACTTTGACTCAAGGGAGTTGAGGCCCTCCCTCGTAATTTTTCCATTTTCTTTTTGGTTTTTTTGGTTTGTTTAAATAACACGTTTCCTTTTGCATTTTTAAAGCTTGTTTATTCTTCCTCCCCTCTAGAGATTACTCTCAACGTTATTTTGAAAATGTGTCAAAGTCCTTTCCCAAGGCAGATCAGATTTTTCATCTCTGCTGAAGGCGTGTGAGGGCAGAGGAGGTCCGGAGACAAGACCCGTGTCCGTGGCCCCATTCCAGTGTCCCCGCCCAGCACTCTGATGGCTGCCATAGGAACACCGTGTTATTCTTTGCACTGAGACATATCTTCCCTACTAGCCATTACCTCCCTGCCAGGCAGCTTCTCCTCTATTCTACCCACATCACTGGCCACCTTGTTAGGAACTTCTCCTGGGCCTGAGACGGCTCTTGCACTGAGAGGCCATGCCCCAGCAGAACCCAGCACAGCACCACAATGAATGCAATGGGAGCCATGGGCCACAGAAATGGACATCCTAGACCTGGAGATCTTCAGGACAACAGAGCAACAGAGATGAGGCAGAAAAGAATTGAGACTGAAATCTCTAGGGCCGTGCTACCCTGAGAGAAGAAGAGACAGTCCCAGGTCTTGTATCTAGTCAGATCTGTAGCTCACGATACAGAGGCAATAGTCTGTCCACTGGCTTAGAAGAACGGTGGAAGATGATATTTTCTTACCCATCTTATTTCTAGCCCTTGCCTGGAGCAGGGCTGCTTAGAGCACTTCCCCTCTCTGCCCCCTCCCCAAATCTGGCGATGTCTATTCACATTTCAGTTAAGATAGCCAGTCTCTTCCAAAAGGTCTTCCTGACACCCCTCCCTTCCCAGATCCCCAACACCCTGCACTTCCCCATTAGAGTACTTCCTTCATCCCAAAGCTAGAGTTCCTCTCTCACTCTCCGTCTCCCTCCACGGGCTTCAAGCTTCCTAAGAGCCTTCTTCTAGCATCTCCCCGGAGCTTCGGAGAGAGTCTGGCAGCCACCAAGTGCTCAGTAAGTGTTCCCTGAGAGGAGACAAGCACCCTTTAGTAAGCCGATGCAATATGCAGGACCTAGTACTAACCAAACACATGGTATAGTTTACACCTCACTCAACTGCCTCAAGCAGTGGGTGTTATTCCTTTCTAGCTGAAGAAGTAGCCAAGACATCAGCCAAGGGACATGGGGACTTAAGCATTTATCTGTCATACCCAGAGCTCTTGCTCCCACACTCTAGACTAAATATCCTTCTCCCTGCTTGAGCTAGGGAATCCAGGTGGTTTAGTGTCTGGAGCAGGTGCCCGCCTGCCTCCACAGGACGCCTATTCTTCTGTGGATGCTTCCATGCAGATGAGCATCATCATCCAAACCATGTCCCCAGCCTGGCTTTCACATCTCCAAGTGCTCCTAAGCTCGGTGCCGTCATCTCAGACAAGAAAACCAAATAGGGCGAAGGAGTGCTTGGAGAGACGGCTCAGCACGTAAGAGCTCTTCCAGGGGACCGAGTTCAGTTCTCAGCACCCATGTCAAGCTGGTCACAGTAGCTTGTGACTCCAGCTCCCAGGGATCTGACACCGTCTGCCAGGTTCCAGAGATACTTGCATATATGAAACATTATACACACAGATGTACAGATGTATACATAAATAAATATGGAAAATGGGAAGTCCTGGGAGGATGGACCCAAGTTTGGTATACACAAAGAAACATTACCTGAGGAGTTCAACCTGGGAGGTGGCCTTTGGGCTGCAGGAATATTCTGCTGGGTGGTAAGACTGGGATTCTTTTTTTTTTTTTTAAACTAGCTCTGTAGACAGAGATCCTCCTGCCTCTGCCTCCCAACTCCTGGGATTGGCTAGGACAGGGATTCTTATTCCCACTTCACCAGCTACTCAATGAGCTACTTGAATTAGATGGCCCTATATGCTCAAACCTGCCCTGACTGGGTGCAGAAAGGCCATTGGCTCCCTGCCACCAAATGATATTGCTGCTTCCAGGCCACCAAGGGAAATCTTGGAGTCTTCACAGGGCTTCTTCCTTCTGCTGCTCCAGCCTCCAGTAACAGCCTGACCATTTCCAGGGGCCAGAGACTCATCTCAATGAGAACACGATCTTTGCTGCCACCCTGAGAAGCAGGTGCTACTAGCTTTCCCATTTCACAGATGCAGGAAACTGATGCCTAGAGAACTGTAAGACTAGCCCCAAGGCCCATCAGCTCACCATGGCAGGAGAGCTTCCCTGGCAGCCCAGCTCCTAATAAGATCACATCATCCACTCTTGTTAAATATCTTCAGTGGTCCCAGTGACCCAAAGAAGCTCATTCTGAT